GTTTTTGAGAAAATCACCAAAACATTAAAAGGGTGGGGGTTAGGGGGCGAAAAAAGGGGGTTGTGGAAGGAGGATTAGCCAGGACTTTTAGTATGTTGCAATTTAGCCCTCAGGCATGATCTCTACCAAAAATCAGCTTTATATTATTTTTGTCTAGGTCAAATGCTATCTTGCCTCGGCTAACTGGACTGCTCTAATTCTTGAATGATGAGCGCTGGTCTCCCTACTAGAAAGTAGTAGTGCGCAAAGTTATGTTGTCCCGCATGCGAAAGAAGTAAGGGATAAGCTTTTTATCGATAGAGCTCGTGTTCCTCTATCGGCACACCAATTTAGAGCCTGAACTAGAATTTTGACCCGCCGTTCGGGAATTTCAGAAAAAAAATCCCCTGAACTGTTGGGCGCAAAGTGGTCCCACCCCCTATTGTCTTCCTCCAGGGTGAATAGGGTTTTCATCAGATATCACGTTTTTTATGTTTTTAACCCCTTTTAAATATTTTTAAAAAAATATTGTACCCCCCGCCAATTGCGACATCTTCTTCCTATCTATCCCCTTGCAAAATTTCAGCTTTCCACCTCCAATTATTTGGGCTGTGGAAGGGCCGAAAGTCAAAACTTTGACAGCTTCAATAGGAAGCCTCAGGGGGAGGGGGAAACAAAAATTGTTTTCGCTTGACAGAAATAAAACTTTTAGCGCCCCTGAATATTTCGAACTTCTAGCTAGTAGAAAAGTACAAAAATGAGTGTGCGCGCGGGGAAAAAATTTCCCGCACAGTGTGGGAGAAAGTATTACTTTGCATATGCAAAAGTGAGTGCAAAGTAGCTTTTTTGCGGTCATTCGTAAAAATAGCTATTTATGCAACAAGTGTGTAAAGTGAACTTTTTTTCACGAATGTGAATTTTGACAATCACATGAGTGAAAAAAGGTACTTTACACATATATTGCATAGAAAAAAATTTCTACTACCTTGCGTAAAGTACTCACTTCACCCACTAGTCAATGATAGATGTCGACAATGTCAATTTAGTTTTTTTTTATAGTGAATTACTTCACGCACTAGTGCGTAAAGTATTTGTCTAAATGTATTTTTTCACACATACGTACATAACTATTTTATTGGTAGTAGAAAAAATATATTTAAGACATTTTGATGTGCGAAAGTATAGTCCTAATTTACAGTGATAAATACTCTGCAGATTAGGATAATAATTATTGAGTGTAATAGTATAAATTACCTTCGATCTTCTCAGGCCAAACATCCTGATCGTCATCACTGAGCAGTATTTCTATATTGGAGCACCTTTTTTCATGAGCCTTATGCAGGTATGCACAAGTTTTGTCCATAATGAACATGAACGACATTTATTATGGTTATCCAAAGTCTCCATTCTCATTGATTTGGGTGATAATTCTGCAGATGTGGGCGCGAGGAATGAATATGAAAATCATCAAATAATGGTGATTTTGCTTTTTTTTTTCTGTGTAAATCGTAAATGACAATTTGTTCCAAATATGTTTCCTTTTATCAAAATCTTAGTTGGAATAACGTTTTCAAATTTTTTAATGGAAAATCAAGAAATACCATTTTTCCAACACGATCTAATGACATTATGGATTGTTGAGACTTGAGAGTTATCATACGCACTTGTATGGAATTTTGTCTACTTCAATTTATATCATAGTTATAATTAAAAAACGCTTAGTTTTCGAGTTATGGTTAAAAATCTGAAGAAAATGCTGAACGTTTCAGGTTTTTTGCAATTTTTCGTGTGAAACCGACGTCTGGCGAGGTGGCAAACCTCACATTCGGATTCAGCACCCCAGAAAACATATAGACTCGGTGATGAAAAAACTCCTACATTTTTTTCCTAAAAACGCTGTTTCTGAACCTTGGATGACTGAACTATATCCTATTTAACATTAATAAACAAGAATATCCATTCTGATATATAAACACATCATTATCTAATTTGGCTCATTCATTTTTAGAGGATAAGTAGATATAGGACATTGGACATGAAATATGTCTAAAGCCTGTTTTTTTTTTAAGATAAAAGTCAAAATGACATAATGTTGGCAATACAATGTTAAATTGTCAATGCTTTCAAATTTTTTATGTAGGAAAGGCATGTGTTGACAACATAGTTACTAAATTTTTGACATGGGGAATTATCAATAGTAATATAACTAGTGCAATGGAAATTATTGATAATTTTTGGGAAATTTGCTCGAATGCATTTTTAGTGCACGTAGTGCACGAGTGCCCTTTTCAGTTAAAAACGCATGAGTGCAAATTTGTCGATAATTATAAATATATTTCCATTGCACGAGTTGTATTTAATGAGAGAATTTCATAAATCAAAAATTTAAATTTTTTGTCAAAAAATGTCAAAACACCAGTTTTCACACCAGTTAGTATGCAATTATCTGATAATTTGCACTAGTGCAAATTATCGCGTAATTACAATCTGATTGGTTCAAATCAACAATCAAAACATGTCAATTTATTGTTGAAATACCAGTTTTGACAGATGTATGAAATTCTCTTTAAAAAAAAAAACAGACTTTAGAACTTTCCGCAAAATTCAGAAATATCATAATATACAGGAGGTGCCATTTAAAAAATAAAGTTGATGCCCGTAGGGGAAGGAAGGAGCAAGTTGACGAAGCTAAGGACAAACACGAAACTAATTGGTTTTCAAAAGTGAAATTATTTTTTTCTATTAGTATATTTATCGAGATATTGGATATAATTTTTAAAACACAACAAAAATTATCTCTAAAGAAAATAAAATGGAAAAAAGAAAAAACTGCATTTGCGTCAACTTGCCTCAGTACCGGAGACTATGGGGGCCAGTTGACGATTACAAACAGAGATCACAGGTAAAAGTGTCTTTCTGTTCATACGCTGTATATGAATCGTGTCACCAACTCTCGGAGGTTTCACATTGTGGACAAAAAATTTCTCCTTGTTTTTCCTTTTTTTTTTTTCAAACTGCTTTTTACTGTTATCCTGGAATTTCTTCTTTACTTTTAAAATATCAACCTTTCTTCTCGTACTTCCTTTTCTAATTTTTTTTTTTTGCTCTTCTTTTTTTGGAGTTGAGGTAATAACAGAAACTCTTTGTTTAACTCTTTTTGTACATTTAACCGGTCCAATATATTAAGGAAGTAGTCTGATGTGAACAAGTGAGACGTGATTGTCATTATGCCCGTATTACATGTGTGTATTTTTCCGTGTACTTATTCATGTAGTTCAGGGTGACAACCAAAAAACTTCAAACGCAATCATCGTACACTTTCGAAATACTCTAATACATTATGTGTTCAATATCATTCCAGATTTAACAATAAATCAGAGCATCGATTCTATTACACTAAATTTTATTAATTTGGCTCATGCATTTCTAGATGATCAACGGCCCCCGAGACGACCCCGTCCTGGAGGTCCTGGAGATGATGACCCTGATGACGGTGAGTATTTTTTTTTAATTATTAAGGTTAAATCATTTAATCAGCTATATTGGATTAGGTTTCGATATATATTTGGATCCCAATCCTGATGAGATTTATTGTGTAAATCGAAAACATTCCAAATACTTTAAGTACATTACGTGTTCAATAGCATTTCAGATTCAACATTAAACCAGAGCATCCATTCTGATAATATAAACGCTTAATTTTTTTAATTTGGCTTATGCATTTTCAGATCAACTGCCCCTTTCTGAAGAAGAGGATCCTGATGATGACTGTGAGTATTTTTTTTTTTTTTTCAATTACTCAGATGTAATCATTTTATCAGCTATATTGGAGTATTTTTTAATTTATATATTAATCTCAATGCTGAGATTTATTGTTTAAAGAAATCATCGAAGACATTCCAAATACTGTTAGTACATTATGTATTCGATAGTATTCCAGATTTAACATTTAACCAGATAATCCATTTTGATATTGTCGTATCTAGGATAATAGGGCACCTCCCTACGGTAAATTAAACTCACTCGTCTTCCAAAAAAGTTCATGGATTACAGGAAGACCATCGGTCAAGTTACATGTAAATAACATTGCAAGTTGAACGAATTATTAAATTATTAATTTGTACGGACATGGAACTGAAATCCATAGAAGGTCAATGTCGACGCCAGGTCATCGGCAGTTATTGTAATTAGAAATCACGTACCATGGTGGCTCGACTAGCATAAAATAAGGTAGTTTTGGAAGATGAGTTATCAGTCTACAGATGAAGAATTCTCCGCGTTAGTTAGTTAGTAGTAATAGTGCCTTTCAGTACTGTGATAATTATTAGTGCCCATGCCCATATCTGAAATGTTTTTGTGGTAAGCTTTATTGAAAATACACTTTCCTATTTTTGTACTTGGCTCTAGTTTTGATTCACACCCCCTCATAACCCCCAGGTCCGACAATATATTATTGATATATTATTACTGATTTGCGTAAACATTCTTGTGTATTGACACCAATAAAATGATTTGATTTGATTTCATTTGATATATTATAAATATTTAATTTTGTTTTAATTTATTTCATGCATTTTCAGATGGAGGAGTGTCCCTTTCTGAAGAGGAAGGCGGTGAGTATTTTTTTTTTTTTTCAATTATTAAGGTTAGATAAATCATTTCATCAGCTATACTTTATTTTTCTCCAAGATAGATTTTGACATTGAAAACTTTGAAACATAAACAATAACGCTTGACCCTGATTGGTCGCAAAATGAGGTGTTCCTGCAGGTTGACATTAGTTTTACAATAGCGACCAATAAGTGGCATTAGCGGCATTGTTTATGTTTCGAAGTTGACAATGCCAAAATCAATCTTGGAAAAAAATAAAGTATATATTGCTTCGCTCAGGGAGTTGATATAAGATTGTGTGGTGTGATAGTTGGAACTCCGGATTGGTATAGTTATGAACAATGTTTGGATGAATTTGGTCGACGAGTTAGTTCTCAGTAGTAACTATGTTGGAGAAATCACTGTTGAGTTCAATGAGGCCGGTCGTCTGGTGAGTAGGATATGGATATGTGCCTTCTCCTATTTGTGAAAGTTGTCGAGAAAAATGTACTGTAGTTTCGTTTTTTGATACTTCCACTCTTATATTTTTTGTTAGTCGCAGTATTTGTATGTGTAGCCAGAGATATGATTTTTTTAAGGCATGCGTTGATTTCGTCTGCTAGTGTTGACTCTGGGATAAGTGTTTGTCGAAAATCTCCTGAAAGTATCGGTAGAGCTCCTCCCATCACTTCAGAATTTCCTCGCAATTCTTGTAATGTTCTGTCCATGGCTTCGAGTGATTTTTTATGTGCCATCGCGCATTCGTCCCAGAAGATAATTTTTGCTTGTTCCAGAAGTTCACCTCGTTGAGATATTTTTGAGATTTTGGATTCCGAAAATTGTTCTTCGGCTATGTTCAACGTTAGTTGTAGGGAGGAATGGACAGTTCGTCTTCCTTACATAAATGTGGCGGCAATGCCAGATGATGCCAGTTCAAGTGCGATGTGTTGTTTAGAACGTATTTCTGCCAGTAATAGATTTATTAGAAACGTTATTCCGGTGCCGCCTGATGCGTCCAAGTAAATAATTCCACCAGTGTTGTTGCTCTCGTTCATGATAACGTTGTGATGTTTTTTTTTTTTTATGTCATTTATAGTCCTTGGGCGCAGATCTAAATTTATTATTTATGACCACACCGTCGAAACTTTTTGTATTTGCTATTTGGGTGGAGTCGGACAAATTTTGAGCTCAGCGCATTATGGTAGTGGGGCGTTTGTCTGTCAAGCTAATTTTTCAAGTAATTTTTTTTTAATCAATAGTTTTTATCACATAAACAACGAAAAAAAATGTGTCGGACAAAAATATTTTGGCATTCGACGCGTCGGACACGTTGAATATGTCAAATTTATGGAATTTTTTTTTTATTACCACACGGCTGATTTGAACAGAATCTGCCATAAAAATATTTTACAATAACGTGGTAACCTTGTCGGACAATTTTCACGGGGCATATGCGCAGTCGGATGCGCCAAAGATGTCAATTTTCTGCAACAATTTTATTTACAACCATTTTTCCGACAAAAATAGGGGGGTCTAAGTAATAATATTCTAAATCAAAAAATCTAAGTGTCGGACAAAAATATTGGGGCGTATCGACAGTCGGACAAAAAATGTAATTTTTATTGGTAATCGATATTTCTTAACTATACTGGGTTCAGCTATCCCTTTTTTTACAAATATTTTTCCGACAAAAGTAGAAGGTTACCAGTATATTCTTAAATAAAAAATGTAGTTGTCTGACAAAAATGTTAGGGCAAACATTCAAGAAATTTAATTTTTATAGGTTATCGACGTTCTTTAATTATAAGGATGAGTTAATGCTTATATTACTTTATATAAACATATAAGTACCTACATATAAAGAAAAAATACATAAAATATTATCATTAAATATTATTTATTATTAAATAAATATTATAACGTTCGTTGTTACAGTCTAACCTAGTAGGGATTCCCCGGCTAGCTCAAAAATAGAATAGTCCTACTAAGTTATTGCATGAGACTGTAAGGGCTGTAATTTCTTGTTCTGTTGGATTATAGTAAACACCTCAATGAAAGACAGAAATAACATTTACTCAAGTAGATATATATTATTATATGAATCAAATAGTACATAGTACAGGAAATGTGAGAGTAGTTGGTACCTACAATTTAATGTAAACTGATAAGAAAACTTGTTACTTCAATTAAAAGGTGCACCCCTTAGATTTAATAAATTATTTACTCTCGGTGATATCAATAATACCCTAAAGTTCCACTCCTATAATGATAAATTAGGAATCAAAAATACCTACTTATATATGTAAAACTTTGGCGAGCTAAGCTCCCACTTGAATATTTAAAACAATTAAACAAGATCCGTACACTTACGGTTAATACCTAACTTAGACAAGTACTTGAAGTTTTGGAATTTTCCCTTGATTCGAGAAGAATAGCTAAAGTTATCTTACTTGATACGTCATTTACAATTACTTCTAGTTGACTTGTTTGTGTGTGTGACTGCGTGACTGCGTGACTGGGTTTCAAGCCAGAATAGGCCTGACGGAAGAGGATTGCAACTTGTGACTTCGCTGCAGCAGTCCCCTACTTGAAGCTCGATATATGAATTCAAAACGACGACACGGGCATCACGTGGATTGGCTCCTCGTCTAAATTACTTGTGGATTCAAAAACTTAAAACTTGAAATCTTGAAGCTTGGAAACTTGAAGCTTGAAAACCTCTGTGGTGGTGCCTCTCTCCTAACTCGGACAACGTAGTTGCCGGGTGGCAAGAAATCCTATAAGAAGTAATAAAGAGACTAAGCCCAAATTAAAGTAAGCAACACGTGCCAACTTACCAAAGTTCCAACAAAATCCCTACTAAAGGTAAAACAGTTCCAACAACGTGCAACAAAGCACCGGCAAAGCAGCCCCAACGAATTTAACAGAACTATTTCATTTGTGTGCTCAGTAAAATAAATCCCACAATGGATGGACACTTGGCCAAAATGGGTCTAGGAACAAGATATCCGTGGTTCTAGAAGGTTTCGAGAAGAAGAAAGATTTTCGTCAGGGTTCTAATGAAGAAACCTAGCCTGGTGAGAACATGCGCCATACACACGAAATAACGTCAAGAGAAAACAAGGTTGCTACAGCGAGTAACAACACCAATGGAGTAGCAACAGAACTAATGGGGTAGAAACAAATTCGAGCATTGCACTTAGTGCACCTAGTTCAAAATATTGTTCCCTGTTCCGAGTATTTCGTGTAGGTACTTGGCGAATCGATACGATCTAGTGTAAGTCAACCCGTGAACGCAGCGCCGATGACGTACAAATACAATCAGCTGATGATTGTTGATATCAGCAAGCCGACCAAAACAAACTTAGAAAATCCCAAGGTAAGTTTTGTATTATGAAATTATAGTCAATATATGAATTATTTCTAGATAAGAAAGAAAATACCGAAGTGCCAAAATAAAGCCATCCCTACTCTCACCATGACAACAACTCAACGAGTCAAATCAAGGAAGCCCCAGCTCTTGGAACAAGGTAAGTAAAGTAAATATTTCGTTCATATATTTATGTCTAATTTTCCTTTGTTTGCAGACAGCCAGTTTAGCCGGCGGAAAATGAACGGTTTCAAAACAAGTACCTAACCCAAAGCTAGTAAAACCTCTAATGGTGATTTTGGAACGTTACAATATGGTGAAAATAATATTATTCAATAAATGAGTATTAATACTAATACATGTCAGCGTTGGACTTATATTATTAATTTTCACCGTTTGTTATTAGTTTGATACGCATAACAAAAACATAGCCTTGTGTCACCACTACTTATTGGGCCACCCTGTATACTAGAAAATAATTTAGGAATGTAGCACTCATGTTTATCTACAAGTTTTGTATTTACTTTTTTTTTCGATCTCTATTAGTATAGGAGATAGGGACGACCGCGCTATTAGTAACTCACCCTGTATAAAACATAGTGGTGTGTGGCTATGTGTGTATGCATATATACTATAAATTATAGTTGTAGAAATTCTTGACTGGCTTGTTTATTAAGTGAGATGATTCTTGGGATTCAGTCTTGGCAAAAATAAAACTAGTTTTTCACAAATGCCGAGCTTTCGGAAATTTTATTGTTTCCTTTTTCAAGGGTGCAAAGTTAGTTAAATTATTTTAGAATTAGCCATTGTTGGAAAAATTATTGATTTGTTCTTTTCTTTTAACTGTTGCTCTAATCTTGGAATTTTGCGTCTGATAATTTTGAAAAGTGACGAAGTGAAAAATTACAAAAATTACTACTACTTTTTTGTAAATTGTATCAAAACGCCCCATTATTTTTGTCCGACAATTATTCCGATATGCGTTACACATGTAAAGAAACAGTAAAAAAAAAAATTGCATCTGTGGTTGTAAATAAAATTGTTGCAGGAAATTGACATCTTTGGCGCATCCGACTGCGCATATGCACGAATATTTTTGTCCGACACATTTTTTTCCGTTGTTTATGTGATAAAAACCATTGATTAAAAAAAAATTACCAATGTGGTCATAAATTTTTTTCTTGCATAAAATCGACAACTTCGTGACAGCTTGACAGACAAACGCCCCAATACCATAATGCGCTGAGCTCAAAATTTGTCCGACTCCACCCAAATAACAAATACAAAAAGTTTCGACGGTGTGGTCATAAATAAAAAATTTAGATCTGCGCCCAAGGAAGTGGTTTGTTGTGAGCAATGTGTTGGAGTAGTTCGTTGATGCTATGTCGTTTTTCCTTTGAAATTTCAAGGCTAGGCAACTGAAAGCATCTTGTCGTGGTGCTGACATCATAAGTTGTACTGAGTGTTTGTTTATAACTGGAACACACTCAGTAACTTTCTTATTATTGAAAATAAAGGGCATGTTTAAGTTGGGAAATTTTTTGGTAAATCGCAACCTTAAGCGATAAAACGATATTTTTTTGTCGTCATAGGTATGCATGGTGCGCCATAAAGGTATTTTTATTAAATGGGGCGCCCTGTATATTTTTGTTATCCAAATAGTGTTTGATATTTTTGTGAAGCTAATTTTCTTAGAATTTCAAAAATGCAAAAATATAAAGGGCGTTCCATTTGAAAAAAATACTTTTTTGAAGCACCCTGTATACCTATGGCGACAAAAAAATATCGTTGTAGCGATTAAAATCGTAGCAATTTACCAAGAAATTTTCCAATTTAAACATGCCCTTTATTTCCAATAATAAAAAGTTACCGAGTGTTCCAGTTATAAACAAACATCCTGTACCAAGGTCTGGTTTTTTTAACGTTGAACATTTATCTGCTATAGACGAATGAGTGTTTTATTGAACATGACGTCGTTGAATTCGATGGCTAGCTCTGGATTAGTTTGTTCGATTTGGTACAGTATATCATCACTCAGACTCTCTTTGAAGGAGTCCTGTAGCTGTTTTCAATTCGATGAAATTATGGCCAATATGTCTCTGACTTGCTCAGCTGTAAAGTTACTACCCAGTGGTTGTCGTTTTCCAGTAGTCAAGAAGTATCTGTGGAGCAGAAAGAGAACGAAAATTTACGGGAAGTAAAAGCATTGGTCGAAAATACCATTTCCTAACTTTTTTTTTTTTTTTTTGCGCTAACTGTACTCTATAGGTTGATTTTATCTATTATAACTGTTAGGTACAAATAAAATCATGTTTAATTATCAGAAGTATCATTTTTACCATGGGGTGCGAATGTACCCCACGTGGGTATCTACGTAATTTTTTT